TGATGTCCCTTGCGACCCTTTCCTGGCCTCCTTCACTTCCCTCCTTCTCTTTGCCCTAGCCTTATTCCTTTTCTCTCTCCTTTTTTCCTTTTGTCTGGCCTCTCTGTCGGCTATATCCATGGAGTCACATTCCTGTGACCCCTCGGTTTCACCTTCAGAGGACTTTAGTAGTTCCTCCTCTCTCGAGGGTGAACCAGGTGAGGCAGGATTTGCCCCCCCTACCTCCATTGCATCCTTCTCTGAGCCAGGGTGCTCGATATTTTGATTTGTTGGTACGTTTACAATATTCTTTTCTTTGTCTTCCATGGGACTTTTTTTGAAAGGGGTGTTTTCTCTGTAGTGATGCTTTTGCTCGGTACAATGAAACCTCACGGAAATCCAAGTCCCCGCTTCCACTGTTCAGCCATGGTTGAACGTTTTCCCAGAGAGAAGGGTCTGGCAGCCGCTGGTGAAGCCCCCCGGAGCGTGCAGCAGGGCCCTTATCCAGGCGCCACCTGGCACTACTACACGCTCCGGGATTATACACCTGATGATGAGGCAGCCCCCTACGCCGGCTAGGCAAGGGTGGGCCTCTATACTGTCAGGCGGCACTAGGTGCACCATCCCTAGCTTCTTTCACCGCTACCTCTCCAGATTACCTCTCTACTGGGGTCCAGCCTCGGTATTTCGCAGCGGAAGGGTGGGGGAGTTGGAATGACCGCGCCCGAACGTGTAGGGGTGTGTGTATACATGTGTGTGTGTTGAGTGTTGCGTATTTGTGATGTATGGTGTTGTGAGTGTAGTGGCGTGTTGGTGTGTGTGCTGTATCTGTTAGTCTGGCATCTCATCCGAGGCCCTTCCGACATGGGAGACCCTTCTGGCAAATTGCCGTCGGCATGGCCCTCAGACTCATTGATGCACGCAAGCCCCTTCACCACGACAAGGTAGATACATGAAGGAGTCTTATAATGTAGTAGTAGGAATACATCTACCTAATTAATTATATAAGGCTTTAGTCATATTTATCAAAGAATTTATAGGTTTGTTATATCTAATCCTTTTTAACTACTAGACTTTTCAGGTGTTTTATTTGCCTGTTCGCTAATTGGCCATTAAATCCTGGGCTAGTGGAAAGCAAGTTCATTTTACTTCTAATTTTCTGAATTAATTCATTGGCTTGTTGTTTTTTACAATATCAATAAGTACTGCAATTATGCATTTGGTAACAGAAAATCAGCACTTCTATTCTTCTATCTTGAATTATGGCTATGTAGAATAATTACTCTCTGGTCAACAGAGATCCTTCAATTTCCATAATTCAAGGAATAACACATAAATTTGATGGAATATTCCTCATTAAATCATGTGGTATCTCTTAATTCACATTCAATAAAATTTCAGTCAGATAACTCTGTGACGTAACGTTTATAAATTTTAATATTATTGTAGAGAAAAGTAAAATTTCAATTACATCACAGTTAGCACTGCACATATGTTAATATAAACGACATAAATATTTGTATTAATCAACTAATTATGCTAATATCCAAGCTATCAAACATGCTATTATCCAATATCATTATCATTACCAGCTTTTTGTGAACTCATAATAAAATACAATATGTGTATACATTTCTGTAAACTACTAACCGTGAAAATTTACATTTTCTTCGTTGCTGCATAAAACCAAAACCGTAACCTTAAGATACGTACTTATTGGGTCAATATTAAATTTATTTATTATAACTTTCAAATTGTGGAATGTTTATATGACAATGAAATTTTTTCATCAAAACGCAGAGCTAAGGTGGTAATATAAATATAAGCAGATGATCGTACGAAGTATCAGTACAAATTCAATACCAAAAAGTGCCAATAACAAATTAAAATGATAACCAAGGTAAGTGCTCAGTTCTATTTTGATTTAGGTTATCTTTTAATGATCCAGTGATTTTCTCGTGAGATTTAAATTTAACTACATTTGTACTGTTTTTGAAATTTACATATTTTGTGAAATATATTTTTACATAACTTAAAAAATACCTATGGCATACCTAACTCAATAAATTATCATAATAGGGTCATTAATGATACACATAGTATAATAGATGTATTTGCTGTCTTCTTTCAATCTGCGTTTATTCATTCATATGTGTATAATGAATCTAAGCCGAATTTTACAAAGAATGTATCAACACTTAATATACCTACAAGAGATTTCAGAGCAAGATAAAGTATCTACTTAAAAATTTCAGAAATTAATTAATAACTGGTCCTGGCGGAATTCCAGCTCTTTTATTAAAAGTACAGTCTATATTTACTTTATCACTTAGTATTATTTTTAATTTATCTTTTAAATGTGCCACATTTCCTGATATTTGGAGAAAGTCTAGAATATGACCCATTTTGAAAAAGGAGATATAATGAACATTGAAAATTATAGACCGCTAGTAGTTATTCTATACAACTTGTTTCCATTGAAAAGTACATACAGAGTGTTCCGTTCATGTTTCAAAAAAACTTGCATGCAAGTTCCTCATGGAAAAATAATAGGGGTAGTTAAAACTCAAAATTTATTTAATTGCTAAACGGTTTTGTAAACTCTAAAGCATACTACAAAAAAAGGTATGCTTGTCGAAATTTGGTAACATGTACCTACCATTCTCGAGAAAAATGAAGTTGCATAGAAGCAAATGGGGGACAATCTCAGCATCTACCGTAGTGTTTCGAGTTTTCCTCATTTATTTAATTGTGCAGCTGTTTTGTTCTGTATGTCTCCCATCAGTCTGTTTCCTAATATTTTTCTGTTCTTATCACATTTTTAAGCATTCATTTCCATCAACAATTCAGTCCATTCAACAATTGCTTATTTTAGTGGTGGTAGTGTAGTAGTTTACAAAGTCTAAAATTAGTTATTAATATACAATTAATTACCATAATCTGTTTATTTTGATTTACTTTTTTAAATGTTTTAAAACTGAAACTTAAAATAAATTTTAATTAATTTTTTTTAGTTAATAAAATGTTTTACAATTTAACTGTTTCATGTGATACGTAAGAAATTAAAATTATAGTCTTAAATGCAAATACTGTTGGTAGCTAAATGTCTTCAGCTCATTCATTGGTAAAGTCCTCTCTTAATTTAAAATTTTACGTGAGCAAAATAAATGCAACTTCATTTTTCTCGACAATGGTAGGTACATGCTACCGAATTTCAACAAGTATGCCTTTTTTTGTAGTATCCTTTAGAGTTTACAGAACCGTTTAGAAATTTAGTAAATTTTTACTTTCAACATATTTCTTTTTCGATTCTTCCCTTCAATTACCTGTATCGGCGACACTGCTTTGCAGAAAGAAACCGTTTGTACATTATAACGCACAGTTGTTGTTTATTCGTTTACCAATTTTGACATTTTTATCTTTAGCCGATTTAAAGATAATTAAGGAAAACCATTTGCAAATTAACAACTTCAACACACTGTATCTCGAAAACAGGGCGTCTAAGAAAAAAATGTTACATGAACTACCCCTATTATTTTCCCATGAGGAACTTGCACACAAGTTTTTTTGAAACATGAACGGGACACCCTGTATATCTTATTCATAACATGGTTTTATTTCCGAAAGATCAACAACAACAAATCTTGTTACTATCACTAACTTCATCACTAATTTTTTGGATAAGAATAGGCAAACGCTTGTTATATATACAGATTTATCTAATTGTACAATCCTTTGACCAGCTTGATCACGGGCTATTGTTACATAAATTATCTAACTTAAGATTAACACTAGATTTTTTTAAAATTTTTAAATCTTATTTAAGTAACATAATTCTAAATGTTCAATATCTGACCTATAAATCAATTGGCGTGTTAGCGACATCTGGAGTTCCGCACGGATCGGTACTTGGACCTTTCTTATTTACTAGATTTTTAAATGATATATTTAAAAACATTTACCACAAAAGTTGTCGAAAATAAATATATGGTGCCAAAATAATAAGTTGCCATTGAATATCTTCAAGTGTAATGTTATGAGTTTTACAAGAAAAGTTGCTATTCAGTTTGACTATAATATAAATAATATTATTTTAAATTGATATATGCAATTTAAAGATTATTGGTTATTATCTTTAATGAAAAACTGACTTTTCTTCCCCGTATTGAAAATATTCTATCTAACGCCTACAAAATTTTGGGTTTTGTTTTAGGCATGTTTCTACCCTTACATTCTCTTTAATGCATTTTTGTCGGATGAAGTTAGAATATGCATCGATTATTTAGAATCCTCGATATGAGGTCCACATTTCTAACTTGGAAAAGGTTCAGAGGAAGTTTGTCAAATACAGGGTGTTAAAAAAAGAGTGTAAAATATTTAAGGAGGTAATAGTATGAACCAAAATAAGCAGAGAAGTCACAATAAACATGGGTCCGCAAAGTAACGGTTGCGGAGATATGGAATGTTTTATGTTTTTTAGCCCCTTTTTTTATTTTGCAAAAACGTTGTGTATTTTCTTATAATAGTTGGTTGATGTTTAGTGAAATAAACAGTACGTATTTGACAGTTGTTCTCAGTGCACAAGTTTTCTTTCGCTATGGCTGGTTACTCTAACGCAGAATTAACAGACATGCATTTCATGTATGGTCGTGCTAATGGGAACGCCACCGAAGCGCGACGTCTTTATGTTGACGCTTATCCAAATCGCCAGATTCCTTCACAACGCATGTTTGGAAGAATTCACCAAAGATTGCGTGATACCGGTTCCTTGAGCAAACAGTGCCATTTATCCGGAAGACCAAGGTCGGTATCCACTCCTAGAGCAGAAGAAGAAATTCTAGCACTGGTAGAGCAGAATCCAGGTACGAGTGTGCGGAGAATATCAGCCGAGGTAGGAATTAGTGGTCCTCTTGTTTGGAGAATCCTTCACGAGCAACTGCTTTATCCATACCATGTGCAACGAGTACAGGCCTTAAATCCAATAAATGATCATCAAGCACGTTTGGTTTTTTGCCGCTGGTTTCTACGTCATGATGCTGAAGACCCTCGTTTTCTTGCAAACATTCTTTTTACTGATGAGGCCGGGTTCACAAGAAATGGAGTGTTTAATTTTCACAATACGCATATTTGGGCCGACGAAAATCCTCATGCTCTAATAGAATCTGGACATCAGGCACGTTTTTCATTAAACATTTGGATGGGTATTGTAGGTGACAGGTTTCTAGGTCCTGTTGTTTTACCAAACCGATTAACAGGCGCTGCTTACCTCAACTTTCTGCAGAACACACTGTATGAGTTTTTGGAAGACATTCCTTTGAATCAGAGGCAACAAATGTGGTTCCAGCATGATGGTGCTCCAGCTCATTTTTCCATGGCCGTTAGAGAGCATTTACACCAAACTTTTCCACATAGATGGGTAGGAAGGGCCGGACCTGTTTTATGGCCTCCAAGATCGCCTGATCTGAACCCTCTAGATTTCTTTGTTTGGGGATATTTGAAGACATTAGTGTATGGTACTCCTGTAAATAGCCTGGAAGAGCTGCAGCTACGGATTAATCAAAAGTGTCAAGAAATCCAAACCAAGGAGGGTGTTTTCGAAAGAGTTCGAATATCGTTGAGACGAAGATGTCGTGCCTGCTTGGAAATGGACGGAGGGCACTTTGAACATCTTCTGTAACTTTGTTTTTTGTTTGTTAAAAGCTTCCTTTGTCGGTTTATTCCTAATAAAATAAAATGTTTGAAAAACGAATAGTGGTCCATATCTCCGCAACCGTTACTTTGCGGACCCATGTTTATTAAGACTTTTCTGCTTATTTTGGTTCATACTATTACCTCCTGAAATATTTTACACTCTTTTTTTAACACCCTGTATATTAGTTTTCGAATAAATAAATAAATAAACAAAATATTGGTAACACATAATAAAATCAACAATTTTGATCTATTCGGATTCGGATTTGATAGTAAAACATTCTAAAACACTATTTTTTAAGCCTGCGATTTTACTGGAAAGACGTTATTTTTCTAAAGCTGGAAAAAAATTTAATGGAAGTATTGTGTTGACAATTTCATTCATAAATTTCTACTGTCGTCTCATTTGTACTCGTATAGTTAACATTATAAAATTCCTTATTAAATAGTAAACAATAAATTTTTTTGCTTCTGTCATAAACCAAAATTATTGTATCCTGAAATTCAATTTAAATACCCTACAATTGACGAAGAAAGTATAGGAACAAATTGTTTATGACTGATGAAATTTGACGTTACCTGTTCTTCGTTCGATTATTTAAAAACTTCTTGTACATTTATTCATTATTAAACAATAATGTTACATAAGCGATTCACTCTACCTAATCTGTATATCAAATATTATATCTTCTGCGTGATATACAATTACTTATAGCAGCAGTTATCTAACCAAACCACATTAAAACCGATTAGAGATACAACAGTCGAAAAATGACACTTTTCATATTTCATTTATTTAGCGGACACTTTCGACACTTTCTAACTGTGTATACGCATTTCATGTCAAAGTAAACAGTAAATCACGATTTGAATAATGAATCAGATTGATGCAGAAGATTAGATTATTTTTTCTCCACTTCCTTTTGGACAGGAAATTACATTGCTTTTTTACTCGTATTCTTTTAATGAACATCTTGGGCTCTCTATATCTACAAATATACAGAATGTATACTAAATTGGGTAAAATATTTCAAGAAAGAAATGTACCCATGTGCGTAAACTCTACTACACACAAAATAATAATAATAATAATAATAATAATAATAATAATAATAATAATAATAATAATAATAATAGTAATAATAATAATATACATTTTTTAAAAGGAAATGTATTTAAAAAATACATGTTTTTTATAAAATTGAAAGACGAGTTTAAAATAATTAAGCATCTGTATATTTTTCTCGTCACTATTGTCAGCATCTACAATAATTTATATAATATACATTCTTTTGCCTTAGATTTTATTGACTTTGGCATTGACGACTTATTTCCAAGTGGCATATATCAAAGCTTACCCATCAGATTATGCTACCTCATATGTAAAAAGGGTTAGTAACAGTTATGGCGCTGTACCAATTCATGGGAAAGAGGAGAATGGACTTTATGGACATGGTCAAGAGTATGGTTATGGAAAGGGGCAGGACTATGTAGATTATTATGTAAGTTCCTTTGCCACATAATGAAACCATAAAACCCTAGCGTCGCAATTCGTAATTTGTTAGATTTTCGTAAATAATTCAGTTCCACAGTAATTGAATATAGTTTGTTTTCAAATCAAAGGAATTTATTTGCATTTATTTCTGCTGTAAAGGGAAAAAACTGAACGTAAAATAACTAACCCTTTTGATTAAAATGTGCCACATAAGAACCCACATGTAGTGGGCACACTATACATACTAACGGAATTTAAAATATGAAGTGTTAACGCCAATTAATCTATATCAAATCAAGTTGATTCTTTTAGCCGCTATTTGGCGTTTGCTAAAAAGTTTTGTTTATTTTCAAATAACTGTAAAACACTGACAGATTAAAATTAAATTCCATATTTTAATATAAGTCTTTCCGATTTCAATTGACGAACCAAGAGGTTGGCAGTATGTACCAGGTTCGGTCGCCGACGCAGCAACTCGGCATTGAAATATTTGAAAAACTTGTTCCCATATTTATTTAGCCATCTGGTCGCCCAGTGGAAGAATGATCGTGTGGGCGAACGTGGCATAAACACAGCCGCACTGGGCGAGCTGTCCATAAATTCAGTTGTCAACAAATGGCCTAGCAGTGCAGTGTAGCAATGCGGAATTTGGTGTGATTCAGGTTATTTTAATTTATTATAGGCACCTTCTATTAATTGTGAAAGGGAGAAGTAAAAGGGATATTTTGTTTACTAAAATTATCACAACATGGCAGTTTGGAGGCCTTTTGAAACGGAACAAAACGAAATTTACCATCAATATAATAAAATTGTATGAGGACATAAATAATTTAAAATATGTTAGTCAAATCAGCTCATATTTTAACATAAAAGCTGGACCTCTTTTTAGAGTCAATAATTGCAAATTTTATTTATTAGTTTATTTTATAAAGTTGGCAAATTTGTAATTGTGTACTTTTTCATGAAAATTATTGGAGATAGCCACTATTATTCAGTAAAAATAAATGAGTGGCATTAATTTAAGATATTTTTCGTTCTGCAAACTGTCTACAGTAGTTTCTCATGTTGCATGAAAGCGCCATATTTTAGGACCTCCCTTATATGCACCTACTCTATACTTTATATACAAGAATTTTATTTGTTTTATGTATCAGGCTTATCCTAAATACAAGTATACCTACGGCGTTGATGACCCCCACTCTGGTGATCACAAGTCTCAAGCGGAAGTACGTGATGGGGATGTCGTGAAAGGATACTACACCGTGGATGAACCTGATGGTACTAAGAGGATTGTTCATTACACCGCTGATGACCACAACGGCTTCAATGCTGTGGTTGAAAAGGTTGGCCACGCAGTACATCCGGCTTCATATAAGACTTCAGGAGTTGACCAGTCCGATTATAGTTATAGTCATGGATATGGATACGGACATTAGCCACTGTTATTTATTTATTTAAATTTGTAAACCAGTGTTGTTCTGTATTTATTAACTATTTATTATATTCACGTTAAATAAAGATCAATATGTCAAAGAAAACACAATTACTTTTTAAAAGAATTTAGAACGACATACTGGATTTCGATCTAATGTTATCTATCTGAAGTTTTATTGTCCATAGATAACAACAAAGTAAAAGAAGACTTACGTATTTTTGGCTTGTAATTAAATACTTAGTACTTTAAATATATTTTTAAGATAATAAGGTCTTAATTTTAAACTATAGATCACAATTATGCAATAATTAAATATATGTTATGTTATATAAATATTTAACTAGATTACACTTAACCTAATCTAATATTATTTTAATCATTCTTTTGACAAAATACCTGGAAATCTAAACATATGAAGATATATCATTTTTACTATAGCCCAGGCAAGTTAGACCAAAATCAACCAGAATACGGAAATTTTTTTCTGGTGAACCGATTGAGTTGCGGTTTTCGGCATTGTCTTCGAAAAAATATCAGGAAAGAAGTCTATATATTATACTTTGGGGCTGGATCGAAACTGCATTGCGGGTGCATAAACTGCATCTTGGAGTGCATCAATTTTTTTGTTTTTTTAAAAATGGTAAAAATTGACTAAAAGTTGTAGAAATTTGTGTGCACGGGTTGTCGGGGTCGGAGATTCCGAATCTGACCCTGAAAAATATGCCCGACGGCCCTGGGCCCCCCCAGAGGGGCAAGCAGGGGGCCTTCTGTAAAACATCGAATAGCTGAGTAATTGCCTTCTATATCCCCACTCGGGGTTTTTGGGGTCGGGGATTTCGATTCTGACACTGAACCCTATGTCCAACATTTCAGGGGGGCAAGGGGGGGCCTTCTGTAAAACGTCGAATAGCTGAGTAATTGCCTTCTAAATTTCTACTCGGGGATTTTCAGGGTCGGGGATTCCGAATCTGACACTGGAAAATATCCATTATTCTTAGCTTGTCTGAGAAAAATTGGAGAAATCCTGGACAATCCGTTCCCAAGAGACACATTTCGTTAAATCAAATAAATATTCGTTAAAACCGAAGAATATTTCATGGATCATGGATTTTCAAAAGTATCTCTTGGACCCGTGCGACTGCAGATAATGCATAACAATTAGGCGACAAAATCCGATTATCGACAATGCAGATCTTGTTGGTGAAGGAAGCATGGAATTGCATACACAATTGCATGTACAAATTATTTTGGAACCAACTGTTCCAATCCTGAAATAGTCGAAAATGTAATAGATGATAGTGATGGAGACAGTGATGACAGTACTGATGATGAAAATTGTAATTGATAGTAAAAGTGTTAGATAAACATGTGGTAGTAGTTGTCTTACTAATTGCCTTGCAAATAAAAAGAAAATTGGTTCTCAGAGTAAAGGGGATTTTGACTCATTAATTTCCTGTTAGTTTTTCTTACCCTTCTTGTCTAATCTCTGTAAATTTACGTGTGTTACAATGTAAAGATGAGCCTACAAGATCATGGTTGGTAAGCAGGCGGAGTAGTTTTATTGCAAAACTCTGATGTGCCTTTTGATGTTTTCCAGAAAGCCCACCCCACGGGCGTCGGGCATACTTTTCAGTGTCAGAATCAGAATCCCCGACCCCAAAAACCACTGAGTGGAGATTTAGAAGGCAATTACTCAGCTATTCGATGTTTTACAGAAGCCCCCTTGACCCCCTGGGGGGCCTCAGGGGCGTCGGGCATACTTTTCAGTGTCAGAATCCAAATCTCCGACCACAAAAACCGCCGAGTGGAAATTTAGAAGGCAATTACTCAGCTATTCGATGTTTTACAGAAGGCCTCCACTTGCCCCCCTGGGGGCCCCAGGGCCGTCGGGCATATCTTTCAGGGTCAGATTCGGAATCTCCCACCCCGAAAATCCATGCACACAAATTTCTACAACTTTTAGTCAATTTTTATCATTTTTAGAAAATTCGGAAAAATTGATGCTCTCCAAGATGCACTTTATGCACCCGCAATGCAGTTTCGATCCAGCCCCAAAGTGTAATAGATAGACTTTTTACCTGATATTTTTCCAAAGACAATGCCGAAAACCACAACTCGATCGGTTCATCAGAAAAATTTTTCTGATTTATTGTTTAACTTGCCTGGTCTACTATGAATTTAACATTTTATACTTGACAATACTGATTTTAAATCAATTATATGAATTGTATAACGTATAAATAGTGTCGCCCAGGACACCCCTCTTTTTGGGACGATCAATTCGAATAAAATTATGTTTTTTTTTTTAACCAATACGGTGATCTGGTTCTGGCAATCATGGTTTACTACACAGCATCACTTAAAACTCCCCCATATCTCAAACTTGAAACTACGTTGCTATCCAAAATAATGTTTGTTTTCGCTTCTGTTTTAAAATTGAGATGATAAATTTGAAATTGCTGTCCTTGCTGATTATAACTCGAAAATTGTAGTCCGCATAGATATTATGTTAATAAATTTGAATACATAAGAAGAATTTATTATTTGCCAATTCACAATCATCAACGTCAGTAATTGGCAAATATTTCATCTTCAGACATTTCCAATGCCTCGAGATTTTAAATTTCAAACAAAAATTTTAAAAAATATTTTATATTACCTACATAATTGATGAAATTTGAAATGTAGGTGATAAGTGATGCTGGTTAAGGCTATGCTGGTTAAAGTTATTATCAAAATAAAATTTATTCAATTCGTTTGTCCCAAGAAAAAAAATAGGGTGTCGTAGTTCTTAAAAGGCTATACTGCGGCATGTAATTTTGCAAAAATTTAAATGCTGTGTTTTCTAATAAATCTTAAGAGGGTAAGAGGGGGAGGGGTACTGCTTCCGCCTTGTCTAATATGAGATTAAATTAAAATTTGAACTAATGCAGGTAAAACTAGTTTCTATCATTTTTCAGTTCACTCAAGTATAGGTAGACATATAATACAAATTACTTTCAGCAACCTACATATTTCCAATTTCTTTTTCTATAAAAAAAACTAGTTTACATAAACACTTTTCGTTGGCTTGACCAAAAAGATACGTACAATTTTAAACTACGTATAGGGTGTATCACGAAGAGGGCCCAGTAGGATTATCTCAAAAAGTAGTCAAAATTGAAATCTGAAAATTTGTATACAGAGGTTTATCAAAAAAAATCTATTCAATAAAAATAGTGTCAACTTTGTAGCACTTCCGGTTATACCGGAAGTCATCATCAACTCTATTATTTCAAATGGAACACTCTGTATGTTTTTGCATTTTTTAAATTCTACGGTAAAATCTAGACTAATTTCATTGACTAGACTATTAGCCAAAATGTGACAGTTTTCAAGTTGTTATCAATGTTCGAAACAAATTAAGGGATGCAAGTGATTTTTGAAAACAGAATAACTCCCACATTTTGCTTTATTTATTAATGAAATTTGGCATGGATAATTTAAAAACAATAGGATTCAACCAATTTATGTCAAATTTGCGAAAATTCATATAGAGTGTTTAAGAACGTGTGACCAATATTGTGACGTTGAAATTGAATTTACTCAAATATTTCAAATGGTACCCCTGTATATTATTACATTAATAGATGCACAATTAAATTTAGTTTAAAATGATACTATAGTACCCTATACCCAAAGGCCCTCTTCGTGATACACCCTGAACGTAGTTTAAAATTGTACGTATCTTTTTGGTCAAGCCAGCGAAAAGTGTTTATGTAAACTAGTTTTTTTAGGAAATATGTAGGTTGCTGAAAGTAATTTGTATTATATGTGTACCTATACTTGAGTGAACTGAAATATGATAGAAACTAGTTTTATCTGCATTTAGTTCAAATTTTAATTTAATCTCATATTAGACAAGGCGGAAGCAGTACCCCTCCCCCTCTTATCCTCTTAAGATTTATTACAAAACACAGCATTTAAATTTTTGCAAAATTACATGCCGCAGTATAGCCTTTTAAGAACTACGACACCTTATTTTTTTTCTTGGGACATACGATTTGAATAAATTTTATTTTGATAATAACCTTAACCAGCATAGCCGTAACCAGCATCACTTAAACAACGTCACAAGATTAGCCACACTGTATGAATTTTTGCACATAAACTGGTTGAATTCCATTACTTTTAAATTATCCATGACAAATTTCATTAAAAAATAAAGCAAAATGTCAGAGTTATTAAAAATCACTAACATCCCTCAATTTTTTTCGAAAATTAATAACTTGAAAACATTTTGCCCTCTAGTACCTTATATCAAAATGATGACTTCCGGTATATCCGGAAGTGCGAGGAAGTTGACACTATTTTCATTGAATATATCTTTTTGATAAACCCCTGTATACAAATTTTCAGATTTCAATTCTGACTACTTTTTGAGATAATCCTACTGGGCCCTGTATGTAGACTGCAGTCCTCCTAACACATTCGTTTAAAAACAAATGAAAATAAACAAAACACTAAATAATTTTGAATTCATTCTAAAACGTCTTGACAGAAATTTCCAACAAGGTGTTATTAGATACAGTTTAAAACTGTTCAACTTAACAATATTTTAACAACGCAGTAACATTTACTTTTCTGGCTTAACCTTAATCTCTACTCAATACAAATAGGAACACTGTACTGCAAGACAAACCACATATAGCCGACGTCAAGCAAGAGAAATAAAAACGTAAATTGCCTTCGAATAACTAGGTGCATAGTTACAAAACCCGTTTTAGAATTTTTCAAAAAATCTAGATTAATTGGATATTATTTAAGCAGTTAAACAGTATGTAGGTTGGATTTGTGCCATGAAAATTATTGTATGGATTTCGTCAGTGTTACAATTATTACACGTACCTAATGCAAGTGAACAAAGTTTAGAAATTATTTGTTTTCTTATTCTACTTATAATAGCAATTATTGCTAGTTTTATGTTCGAAATTGTAGACTGAGGTGATTGTCGTTGCATTG